ACGGTGGGTGGGCTGAGCAGGGAACGTGGGAGAAGGCAGCGGGGACTCTGGGTGGCCCAACTTTGTCCCCCTTGGGGTCCTTTTTCTTTTTCCCTTCCCAAGCCTCCTGCACCGGAGCACAGGATGCACAGGGCATCCCAGAGTGCCCGGGAGCACACTTACCCTGTTCCTCCATGGCTGGGAAAGCAAACTCTAGCTACAGGCGGCACAGGGTCGGCCCTGGTGGCCTCCCAATTTAGCTCTCTTCTCAGGGAAAATCCTACTTTTAAAGAACCCTCTTTTTAAAAATAATAATAATAATAATAAAACAGTCAAGCAGCAAAAGTTGATGTCTGTTCCCGTGAATGTATCATATAAAGTGGCTTCAGTGTTCGCCAGTCAGGTCTGAGGACCTGGGTATAGTGCGCCCCCACTGCGCAGCCCTCAGGGCAGCCCCGGCAGCCTGGGCCCCCTGGGCCTGAGGCTGGCTGGGAAGCCAAAGCCTGGGCACGATATCAGGAGCCCTGCCGGGCCGGGATCTCTCCGAGGCGCTTCCGTTGGGTGTTCATTAAGGGTGAGTTATTGCCGTGTGAGCCAAAGGTCACTTCAAAGGCTTATGGCTGCGTGCTCTGGTCTTTAGAAGGGACCGGAACGCTTTGTGTGGGGCTTTCTCCTGCGTGGTTTAGTGTTTGCAAACTACTGAGTCGACAAATTGCACAGGGCAGGCGCAAGAGGGGGGACTGTGTCTCTCCTTTCGCCTGACCTGCACGGGCAGCCGTTAGGCGCCCACAGTGCTGGGCAGCTTGGTCGGTTTCTGGGGGAGGGTGGAAGGGATGTTTGTTTCCTGGATGGTTTGCAGCCTGATCCCTACCCGGGAGTGGATGAGCAGCCCAGGCCGGGAGCGTGGTGGGTACCTACTGGAATAAAATAAATTCGGGGGAACCATTCCAGATACAATGTACAAACCAGGAAATAGAGCCCAGCTCCCCTTCCACTGGGGCTGTGTAGGACAGCCATTGACTAGGACCTACCCAGGCCTATCTACATATTCATCGTCTTTTTTTCTGGTGCCCTCTGCTGTAGCCTTCCTCCCACCCCAATTCTGCAAGTTCTCTTTTGCTCCTAGGAGGGTGGGCTCAGCCTGGGGGATTAGGGCACCTGGAGCACTTAGAGCCTGGTTGAACCGTTAGGAGAGAACTAATTCCCGTTGTGCCTTTGACCCACTTGGCCCACCCCCTGCCTGAGGGTTTGGCATTTTCCTCAGGTCGAGCTCTTCCTTTCCCCATCCCGCCAAAGATTTTGTGTTAAAGTCCACTCATTCCCTAGAAGCCAACCAAATCTCCTTTCTGCCAGGGAGAAGACTGCCTGGAATGACTGCGGGCAACATATACAATAGTCACATTGATTATGACACCCTTAAAAGGGGTAAAGCCTCTCAACATGTGTGCATAAGAAAGAACCGGCTGCCACTGAGAGTTTTCCATTTTGTTCCAGATCTGCCTCAACAGAATATCAAAAGGAACCCGAAGAACCTAAAAAGAGTTACTGACAAAATTTGAGAACACACACATACACACACACACATACACACAATTGTGGTGAGTAGTGTGATTTAAAAAAATAATAATTTCCACTACGTTTCCATCTGTCCTACAACTCAAGGTAGCCATCTCAGGATTCATACATCAAGACATAAAACAAAGGGCGGCTTTGAAGTGAATCACCTCAGTGTGAACTGCTGCCCGTTACATGATAACCGATCATCGGCCTTCAAATTTATGGCGCTTTAATGGGGTGAGCCCAGTGCCTTAAATGCAGGGTGTATTACGTATTGAGTTATCTGGGCTAAATAAGAATGATTTAGAAGGCGCGTCCAGGGCTTCCCATAGGGCAGAAGAGGCTCAGGCTGAGAGATGGAGAGAGCTCGGGCAGAAAGCTGTCCCAGCTCTGCAGCAAATATATCCCCATGGAGAACACCCGAAAAGGAGTGGTTTCGGAATCCCGAAGCAGCAAAGCCAACAGGGAGCAAGAATCGTTGCTATGTTCCAGCGAATTAACGGGGATGCCCAGCAAGAGTCTTGTCCGCCAAAAAGAGATCTGTGGGCTTCTGAGGCCCTGGTTTAGGAAGAAACAGGGAGAGAAGCCAAGGCCAAATAGAATCTTAGAAACATCTGAGAACAACAGAAACAACCGGCAAACCATCGCCTCCCCCTTCTCTTTCAACTTGCCCCGGCTCTACCGGTCCATAATTTACTACGATTGCCGAGCAAGTCACAGCCCGGCGACTGCCGCCCCCTCCCTCCCCAAGCCCCTCGGTTTTTTCCCCGGCCCCGGCGGGCGAGAGCGCCGGGCCGGCCTCCGCGCATCCCCGCGAGCCTCCCGGCGTCCCCAGGCAGCGGCGGGCGGCAGGTCTTCGGCCCCCGGCGAGGCTGCGCGCGTGCGGTCCCGCGTCCGGCCGCCCGGCAGAGCTGCTCCGAGAGGCGGGCACTGGCCACTTTATATAGTCCCCCTGCTCGTGGGGCGCGGGGCCGGGAAAAGTGCGGAGTAGGGAATTCCTTTGCTGCTCTTCCTCCTACGCGGAGCCTGTTTTCCACTTCTGAAAAGTGCCGGGCCTTGGGAAGTGTTTTTCTTTTCATTCCTTACTGGAGCGTTTACTGCCGCCGTGCTTGCAGTCATAAATTTTGTTACAAACCACAATGACAGGTGCATTGATATGCACCGTGAGAGCTCCAGCTGCTTAATAACCCCGTCCCTGGCCGCTGTGAGCGCCTTTTATTTATTCGGTATCATATTAGGTATTGATCCCGGGCAGAATTAAGTGCAGTGAGCAAGTATCAGGGTTCGGCGGCTTCAGAGGCGCGGCGGGTGCTGCAGTCCAGCGCGGCCCAGGCGGCGGACGGTGGTCGCTTTGAGGCCGCCTTCCTTCTGGCTGGGGACCGTTTGGCCCTGCATTCCCAGCCTGCGGTTGGGCCTACAAGCTGAGTTGGGCAACTTCCCGGGACCGCGAGAAAGGTCGAGCCAGACCCCGTTTAGCGCCCCTACCGTAGAAGGGGCCAGGGGTTGTGCCAGCGGGGTTCTGGGGAGGCTGCCCCGGCCGGTGCCCCGGGGGGTTGAGGGGAGGAGGCATGAGAGAAAAGGGCAGCTGAAGACTTCGAAGACCGCCCCTCCCCCTACACGGGCTAGTCTTCACCCCAAGGCATTTGGGTCCCGGAGCAAAAATGAGCAGAGGTACCAAAGGGCGAAAAAAGAAAGCCTTTAAAAAAAGGGAGGGGGGTCGAAAAGATGAGCCACTGAACAGTTGACCATTGTCCAAGTGATTTATGACCCATTCCTGCTTTTTAAGTTCAAGCAGAGTTCACAGGAGTAGGGATTTCTGGAAAGAAATAAGCTTTTTTTTTTAAAACCAGTTTTGTAACAATATTCTCGGGTTCTGCTTTAGGAGAGTTGGTTTCTCTGGGGCATTATAATATGGATGTGGGGGGAGGCTGCAAAGCCCCTTCTGGTGAGGAGAGGGCTACTGCCCTTGCTTCTGGGGCAGTAGACATTGGGGTGGTGGCTCATCACTGAGTGGGCCTTGAAATTCCTTAAGACAATGAAAACAGATGCAGGAGAACAGGCGCTGGGGTTTTTCATGAAGCTGCCAAGTACTTACACTTTTGAGACCCAGTACACAGAGCTTCTTCCAGGAATATGCCATAGGAACAAATATATATGTAAAGGCATCTGTTTCAAAGCCTGGTCAGTTCCTAAAGAAGCTATTTTAATGTGATTTGTCCACGTATTGAGATAAACTTGGTCAACCTGGGAGGTAAGGGGGGGGGTATTTTGCTTCCACAGTTGTAAACGAAATGACAGAAGCAGCAGTGAGTTCTGGTGATCTGAGTGTCAAATGTGACCATTTTGACATCCAGAGGGCCCACGGATTAAGACTGGAACCAGGATCCCAGAAAAGTCCAGAAACAACTAAACCCGGAGTACCCAGTCCTTTGGCTTGGGAGCAAACACATAAATATTAGTCACAGGATGAGGATGTAACTTTCCATTTGATATTCAGGAACTTTAATAGTCAGAGGATGATATAGAAAATGAATGAAAAAGAAAGATTAAGACCAGCTTTGCTTAGGTAGATATCTTAACTGCATACATTTAAGGATAATAATAGAAACAATTCCTAAAACACATCCTGGTATTCTATTATCCCATTGAAAAGGGCCTGTGTCTTATCAAGATAAATGCCAGATTCACTTATATTTTAAAACAAAATGGGCAACAATACTACCAAACAAAGGCTAATATGAAGAATTTTAAAAATTGGGCTCTTTGGTGAAAGTGGAGGATAAATGAGGGAAGGGAGGAGTGGTTTTGATCCTAGTGGTCAAATCCATTAGGCCACATAAGTTGTCTAGACAATGTGGTCCATCATGATGACCACGATGGAAGCCCAGGGAGTTTTGAGGAAGGAAAGGTGCCTGAAAGACGAGATCAAGAATTAAGACCAGGGAGCTGACCTATGAGTTTTCTTTATCAAGCAGACAAAAGTGGTTGAATGGTATTAGTTATACTTTAACTCCTTAGGAGCCTTTCAGGAGAAGGGGGTGGGGTGGGTGAGAAGGAAAACCCCCATCAAGAATCAGAGGACACAAAAGGGATAGAATTTTTCTTAGTTTTTTTCTTCTTATTCTAATTCTGGGTCCATTCATCATGGCAGAAGAAGTTGTCTCATTGGTTGTGGAGTGGGTGGAGGTGGGGTGCCATGGATGATCCAGAGCAGAGGTCAATAATAATATATATTTACATAATAGATGCAGGGTAAAAATGATAAAGTTATAATATAAAGCATTCTATGTTCACCCATGCTCCATGCATTCAAATTCTAAATCTCTTCACCCTTTCTAGTATCCATTTAAAAGTAGTGGAGGACAAAGTGAGGACTAGAAAAAATGTAGACAAAAGAGAAAAAACATTTTCTACCCTCAAAATAAGTTTGGGAGTCTAAGTGTTCTTGGTTTTTTATCTCCTAGTACATTTCACAGGGCTGACCCACAGAGTTCACTGGGCGGATTCTCACCCTGTCACTGGAAAGTGGACTACCAGGGTCTTCATGAAAGATGCTGTGATTTTGAAACCAGGTGGGGGAGATACTTTTTTTTTTCCTTCTTTTTTTTGAGAGTTCTGGCTGTTCTGAGTGTGTTATAGAGCTTTCTTTTTTCATGAACACCCTGGGGTGTCCCAAAGATTGACTCATTGTTCCATCCACTCACTCATTCAACAAGCATTTACTGCACTTAACTACAGGCAGGGCACTGGGCTGGGTGTTAGGAATATATAGAAGAATAAGACACAGTCCTTGCCTGCAAGGACCTCAAAGTCCAGTGGGAGAATCAGCCATCAAAATGTATGAGGCCATAAGTGCTTTTCTATGCCATTTCAAAAGCTAAACTGACAATCTTGAAGAAAGAAAATAGCGTCGGGGCGGGGAGGAAGCCCCTTCTCTTGGATGGAGTTGAGCTCAAGGAAGGAAAGGGCTTTTCTTATGTTTATCAGACTTTTCCAAGGGTTCAGATAAGTTGAACTTCATAAAATCTCAGCTCCTCCCCCTAGGAAGTGGGTGGGCAGCAGAGAGCAGGCTAGTCCTTCTGTATTGACTGTCTTGTCAGTTACAGTCCCTCTGGGGCTTTCACTTTTCTTCTCCACAGGTCACCTGGAGCCTGGGGCCACCCCAGCCCTCTCAGGGCTCGGCAGACCTCAGAGGTGGTGGTGAAAGAGACAGTGGTGGTCAATGTTATTTGAGCCGGGTCAGCAGGCCCTGGAACTTCCTGAGTGCACGATGCAGAAGGCTGCTTACTATGAAAACCCAGGACTCTTCGGAGGCTATGGCTACAGCAAAGCCCCTAACGCTTACGGCTACGGCACCCCGCATCAGCCTTACCCACCCCCTGCTGCTGCCAACTCCCTGGACACTGATTACCCGGGCTCCGCCTGTTCCATCCAGAGTTCGGCACCTCTGAGAGCCCCAGCCCACAAAGGAACTGAACTCAATGGCAGCTGTATGCGGCCTGGCACCGGGAACAGCCAGGGTGGGGGTGGTGGCAGCCAGCCTCCCGGCCTGAACTCAGAGCAGCAGCCACCACAGCCCCCTCCTCCACCACCAACCCTGCCCCCATCCTCGCCCACCAATCCTGGGGGTGGGGTGCCTGCCAAGAAGGCCAAGGGTGGGCCCAGTGCTTCTGGCTCCTCAGCCACCATCAGCAAGCAGATCTTCCCTTGGATGAAAGAGTCCCGACAGAACTCCAAGCAGAAGAACAGCTGTACCACTGCAGGTCGCTCTCTGAGGGGGCCCATCCTGGGCTAAGTCCCCCAGCATGACCCCAAGAAGCTAGCTCACCTAGGAAGCAAGAGACTCAGGGCGAGAAGGGCACCTTTGGAGGCCATAGGTCTACACTTCTACTCATGCCGAAATGGCCTCTCTTTTCAGTGTCCCTGACTGGAGCCATACCCTTACAGGGACAGGGTGCTCCATTCCAGGCTGTTGGTGCCATTGCTGGACAAGTCCCACAGTGATGAATAGAGAGCCTTTTCTTATATTGACCTAATGTCTGCTTTCTTGGGCTGTTGGTCATAACTCAGCTCCTTCTTCCATCCGACAGCTCTCCAAAACTTGAAGTCAGGTATCATGATTCTCCAAGCATGGGTTCTTATGTAGCCCATATCACACAAATCCCACTCCCTTAAATTAATAAAAACTAAAGTCTGTGGAATGTTAACATGGTTCCATGTTAACAACCAGGCTAAATGCTTTACAAGCATTATCTAATTTAATTTTCCAAAGAACCCTTTGAGGTAGGTATATGATAACATCCCCATTTTACAGATAAGGAAACTGTTAGAGTTGCCCAAGATCACAAAGCCACAGAATGGCGCCCTTGAATCCAACCAGAGCCTGCAAGAACTAGCCATGGACTCTACTTGGTCTACCCCAGCCCAGTTCTCCCCATCCCAGCAAATCCACAATGGGGAGGGGTGTATCCTAGGGGAAGAGGATGTGCTCTGAAACAGGAATGGCCTTGGGTTTCTCTTCCCGAAAAGGGAGACCCTAGAGTTGAGATCTTCTGTGGATCCATTCAGGGTGTGTGGCAGAAGATGGGCAGGCCCAGGAGCTCTAAGGCCTGCTGCGTCTCTCTGCTCAGCCTGATTGGTTCCTAAAATTTCCTGGCCTCGTGTCCTTTGATGCAGTTTATCTTCAGGTAGACGAATTTACTTCCAGGTCCAGGGCTAGTTTGAGGCCTCGGATGTAACTAGCTTTTTATCTAGTCTCTGGTTTGCCTGCAACTTTCTGGGGCTTCGGCTCCTAGGGGGAAGTGCCTCCCAGCCTGTAAGCTGCTTCTGCCCCTCCTTCCCAGCTGCAAGCCCAGGCCCCTCCCTCCCCCGAGATACCCATTTGTACAACCAGGGAGGGAGCGGACGAGCCGCGGAGAGGTGGCAGGGGTAGTGGAAACCAGTGTTGAGACTGCTGCTCCTAGCACGGAAATACTCAAAATGCACCCAGGCTGGGCTCGGAGCCCCTGAAAGTCAGGGGCAGTATTTTTATGGTTTATTACTTCTCTGAGTTGGGGTGCAGAGCCCTTGGGTGCAGCTGAGCTGGAGTGAGGTGCTAAGATCTCCACCCTCATTCTGTGCTTCCTGGGGTGCTTTGCCCAGGAGCCAGCCCCAGAGCAATGCAGGGGAGGTGGGGGGGGAAGGAGGGAGGTACAGGGGGTGTGCCTTCCTCCCCCATCCCCCTGCAGAGGCTGGGGAGAGTGTTCAAAAGAAGTCTGGCCCTCCTTGAATGGGGGCTGGGAGGGGGTGCTAGGCCTTACCAGCTGCTACTAGCCTCTCATTAAACTCCTCCACAGCCTTAGCCTTAGGGACAGGATGATGGACTAGGCTGGAGGGGAGGGGGCGGCAGAGTGAATCGGACTTCAGAAGGCAGATTGGTGGTGGTGGTGGGGGGGGGGTGGTCAGGTGCAACTCCTAGGTAGGCCTGGGGCCTGTGAGGTCCCGCCAGGAGTCTCATCTCTCAGACGCCCCTCCCCCACTCCAGCCAGCATTAAGTTGGGGGCAGGGATGGAGGAAGAGAAGGGAGCCAGGGAAGCACCCTGCTCGGGCCCTGGGTGCCCATCCCCTCCCCTCCCGCTCAGCATCTCCTCTGTCTCCCTTCCTGTCCAGGAGAGAGCTGCGAGGATAAGAGCCCGCCGGGCCCGGCGTCCAAGCGGGTGCGCACGGCCTACACGAGCGCACAGCTGGTGGAGCTGGAGAAGGAATTCCACTTCAACCGCTACTTGTGCCGGCCACGCCGCGTGGAGATGGCCAACCTGCTGAACCTCACCGAGCGCCAGATCAAGATCTGGTTCCAGAACCGGCGCATGAAGTACAAGAAGGACCAGAAGGCCAAGGGCATCCTGCACTCGCCGGCGGGTCAGTCCCCGGAGCGCAGCCCGCCGCTGGGCAGCGCCGCCGGCCACGTGGCCTACTCCGGCCAGCTGCCGCCCGTGCCCGGCCTGGCCTACGACGCGCCCTCGCCGCCCGCCTTCGCCAAATCTCAGCCCAACATGTACGGCCTGGCCGCCTACACGGCGCCGCTCAGCAGCTGCCTGCCGCAGCAGAAGCGCTACGCGGCGCCCGAGTTCGAGCCCCACCCCATGGCAAGCAACGGCGGCGGCTTCGCCAGCGCCAACCTGCAGGGCAGCCCGGTGTACGTGGGTGGCAACTTCGTCGACTCCATGGCGCCCGCGTCCGGGCCCGTCTTCAACCTGGGCCACCTCTCGCACCCGTCTTCGGCCAGCGTGGACTACAGCTGCGCCGCGCAGATTCCCGGCAACCACCACCATGGACCGTGCGACCCTCATCCCACCTACACAGATCTCTCGGCCCACCACTCGTCTCAGGGACGCCTGCCCGAGGCCCCCAAACTGACGCATCTGTAGCGGCCGCCACCGGCCCGAACTCGCGGCGCAATTACCTCTTTTGCTTTGGTGGCTGGGGTGGCGGGCGGGGCCCGCGGGGCAGCTCGGTGACCCCCTCCCTCGCTCTGGCCCGGTCGCCGCCTCCTGGGTCTCGGGCCAACGGCGGCCGAGACACAGGCGACTGGGCCTCCCCTCCAGGCGCGCCCTCCTTTGGGTGACTCGCCATAAATCAGCCGCAAGGATTCTCCTCTGTAACCCTGACAGTGCCATATACTGCGGACCGAGGGACGCTAATCTGGTAATGGTGTCCCGAAGGTAAGTCTGAGATCCATCGGCGGCGCGCTCTGCAGAGGGACCAGCTCCCGGACAGCCCCGGGGCCTGGCCCGAGTCTAGCTTAGTTGCGGAGACCTTAATTTATATGCTCCTTCCCGTCCCGTAAGGATTGCAACGGACTCAACGACCTGTATTTATTATTTGAAGCGAGTCATTTCGTTTCCCTGATTATTTATCCTCGTCTTAATGTATTTATGTGTATATTTGTAGAATTCTCCAGCCAACCTTAGGAACGCGCTCCCAGGCCGCGGGGGCCACGTTTCACCTCTTTAGTCCCTTTGGTCTGAACTAGTTAAGAGAGTAGTTTTGAACAGTTGTAACCGTGGCTGGTGTTTGTAGTTGATGTAAAGGATTAAGACCGCAAATTGTCCTTCATTGGGTAGAGTCAGGCGGCCCCGTGGCGTGGCACGACACCCGTTACTCATTTCTCAACAGCCGCAGCCCTCACCACTCGACACAGTGTATTGATTTCAAATTGTCTGGTACTATTTGAACAAATATTTAGAATAAAAAAATTTCTCAGTCCGAAGTGTATCTGTGTTAATCACGCACACTTGGAAGTAGATCACTCTGCCTTTTATCTTTCGCACAATCCCAGAAGGCCCCCAAATAGGCTCTTTGATATATATATATTTTTTTCATTTATTTGGAACCTGGTACACGAATTGATTCTGGGGATACTTGATTACATTGCAGCATTGATCTTAGGGGGGAGAATCTGAGGGTGCAAGCCTAGAAATGTCCTGGACGGGATAATTTGGGTAGGGCTTTGTGCTGTGCCTGCTGTGCTGGTTCCACCACCCTCTTTTGGACACAAATCGACTTTTCTAGATTGCATTTACATTGGGGAGGCCAGCGCTCACTTTTCTGCGCTAATAAAACAAACTTTAAGAGAAAACTGACAATCAAAGAAAAGACACAAGTTGTAAGAAGAACTGAGCTATGAAAAAGCTAAGGTGTACAAAAAGGAACGATCATTTGGAGACACGCACCTAAGCTTTTTCTCTAGGAAATGCTGTCAGGACTTTTTCCTTTACAATGGTTGGTGGTTCATTTCTAAAGTAAACAAACGTTCCCCCACGATGTAAAGTAATAAAAGTTTCATTAATGGAACATAACAAGTATAAACACCTTGTTTATTCCTGTCTCTTTGTACAAAACGGGCAAAAATGTCTTCAAGGATTTATATCCATTTTGTAAATATTAGCGTGGCTTTAGCTAGGGGCGGACAACGTCCACCCACTTCTCTATAAGGAGACACTTGGAAAGCGCCTTCAGATAAGGTTCAATTCTTTTGTATTTCAGCAAAGTCGGCCCACGCATCTCTATTTGGTTTGACAAATAATGCAACTCCTACTACATCCCCCGTGACACGAGGTGAAATTCCCATTGTGTGGAAATAATTTAACTTCTAATCTTCTGGTGGAACAACAATCGTTTCTATTGGGATGTTTGTGTTTCGCTAAATAATGATGGCTCAAATAATATTTAGTTTCCTTGTTCCTTTGTGCTGTTTTTAAAATGGCATGTTAGATTGGGGGTGGGAGGGGACTATCCTTTTGCTAAATTTCACTTTATCTGAGCAGGTTTAGAGTATACATGTTGTAGAAGTGTATCAACAGAATAAATGACTTCAACTGAAGGGATATTTTACCCACTTTCAAGGCTTAAAATTGTTTTCTATGAAATTTGCATCCATAGGCAGAATTTCTAATTGTCTTGTAAGAAATTATTTTTTAAGCTATTAGGGAAGTCAAAGAAGAGCTTGCTGCCTTGCAGGGATTACAACAACCTTTCTTAACTGGCTAAATATTAAATAGATGAATTATCAGGCTGTTTAGATTCAGCCCGGTTTTCCCTCATCTCTTCCTACCATAAATAATAATAAAAATACATAATGCATTATGGCTCCAGGCGTTTTCCAGCGCAGTGTGTTACCGCAGGAGTATCTGCTGAGTCTGCGGGTGTCTGCGAAGGCCCCAAGTGTCATCTGCGGTTTAGGGTGTCATGGATTAGACTTTAAACGGTGTCTAGGCCGGCTGTGATCATCAGCTTCCTCTCACACTGAGGCTCCAAAGAACTGCGGGGTTGGGGGCTCCCTCTCGGGGCGGTTGCCCGGAGGCACCCCTCTCTAATGGGGTGAGGGAATTCGCTTGGGACAAATCGGCTTTCTCTCACCTTTGGAGAAAGGTTCCCCGAGGCTTCTGAGAATAGCTCGGATTCTTTCCTGTCATTGGCGTGAGTGCCCTGTGATGGGCACACTCGATCGCTCCTGGCGCGCGGAGGGTGGCGGGGGGCCCGGGTGGGGGTGAGTCTGGGTTGGCGCTTCCCGCGCGGCCGTCGGCCAGGGCGAGAGGAGGGCCTGCGGCACAGCCATTTAAAACTTCATAAATTATAAACAAGCCGCCTTGGCCTTCGCCATAAATTCTGCTCCTTTTGAGCCTGCAATTAGTGTTAGGAAGCACTGGAGTCTAAACACAACCAAACGCCCTCTGAAGGGCCCAACTGCCCAAGGTTGCACACGTCTATTTATTTCCCAGTACCACCCCCTCCGCACCCCGAGGCCTGCACACACTGTCGCCTCCTCCCCCGCCGGCGGTACACTCTCGGTAGGATTCCCGCTCAGCGAGGGAGGGTCACAATAGCCGCTCTCTATCGGCGGAGGCGCCCGCCTCCTCCCTCCCCGGTCTCGGAAAAGCAGAGAAAGAAGAGAGTGGGGGAGGGGAGCACGGGCTGGGCAATGGCGCCCCAGGCCCAGGTCTCTCCGTCCCGGGGGAAGTGGGGGAGTGTGTGACCGGCAGCGGGAAGGGGCAGGTTGGCAGGCGAAGGGAACCTCCACCCCGTGACTTCTGCCCGAGACAGGCTCGCCGGGGGCGATGGGGAGCGCCCCCAAGGCCTCGAGGCTGCTGACCCCTCGCTGTCGGGCGCTGCGCTGAGGGCGCTAGGAGCAGCCTGGGCTTCCAGGAGCCTTGCGCTTTTGTGTGCGCAACTTCCCCATGGCCTCGGCTTCGGGTAAGGCCTCACAATAGCACCGGAGGGCCTACGCCGGGAGGAAGGGCCGGGCTTCGCTTTGGGTATTGGTCTCTGGGAGGTTACCTCGTTTGCTGCTCCAGGGGAGGAAGTGGCTCTCTGGCTCAGGCCTTGATCAGCTCCTTTTAATTTTTTTCCCTACAGAGACCGCTGAAGGGTGGAGTGGGGGGGAGGGGAGGGGTCAGGGAGGTTGTGGGGGATCCTCCTGAGGCTTGAAGAAAAGGGCTCAGAGTCTAAAACCCAGGCCCATGGATGGGGGTGGCAGCCGTTTGGGAGCCCCTGGCTGTTCTGTACAGGCAGTCAAACGTGAATTAAAGCAGAGTAGAGAGGAGGCTGCACGAATTGCCCACTGAAGAATGGGAAGTGGGGGTGGGTAAAGAGATTTAGGCAGAGGGAGAGCTTGCCCTGGCTACCAGGAGAAACTCAGGATCCAGCCTGGAGTGGGGTAGAGACCCAACTGAGCTACCCAGGGGTGTGGGGTAGTTGCAGAGGAAAGGTCTGAAGAGTAGTCCTGGCCCCTGGATAGGTGGTAAGAATGGGCGATTAAGTAAATGTTCTGCCTCCCGGCTTTCAGACCTCAGCCTCAACCAGGGACCTGACAGAGAAAAATCCGCCTCTGATGAATCATTAAGTTAAGCAACCATTTGTACCATCTCTTTGTATAGGCTTTCAAATGAGAGAGAGAGAATATAGAATGAGTACTTTCCCCCTTGGTGCAGCCCCAAGCCTAGTCCCTATCAGAGACACATCAGCCAAATTGGTTTCCTAGGCCCCAGAGGCTGCTAACCTTGCTGAACAGGATTTTTTGAATTTCTATCTGTAAGGAGTATTAAAAGATAGTGATTACCTACGCTAGCTACTCATTTCTCCTCCCTCCCCCCATTCTGTACCGGCCAACCCACCCTTGAGTGAAGTGCATCTCCTCAGCCATAAGTCTTGGGAGCCTAGGCTCTCCATCTGTTGAGGTTTTTCATTAGGGAGGGTGAAGAGGATATGTGTGGGTGTACGTTTGAATAACAAAGAAGAAACCCAACATTCTAATGAAAAGTGTTTCTCTGCTTGACCTGGAGGAGCCAGAAGCTTGTTTACACTCAGTACTCAAGGGACAGTCACGGGCCTGTTTGGCTTTATCCTCAGAATTCGTTGAAACTTTCTCTTGAAGTAAAGAATTGGTTAATCCTAGTTACAGATCCACGAAGGTCCTCTTCATCTGGGAGTTCTTGGCATTACTTTGGTCCTTCTTTCAGAAACTGTAAGAAAAAAAAAATAGGATGAACCGAAGTTTGTATTAAATAAAAATACAAAGAGGGGCAGAAGGCCCCACAGGCCTACAGCCTCACCACTTCCAGGCACTGCACCTTCCCAGAGAGGATATAGCTACCGCCTGGGTGAGTACACTTATCCCTAGACACTTTGGGCACAGCTGAGACTGAGTCGCCAGCCATACCCTCACCAGCTATGAGGACCAGCTCACTTAGATCTCTCTTGCGGAGAGCCTGGATGGAGAGAAAAAAGGACTGGATAGGTGAATCCTCTGTACTCACAGCATTGGTGGTGCTGGCGGCCAAGATTATCACAGAGGGTGAAATCTTAGTTTTCATTGTTCCCTTGTCTTCGGTCCAGTTACAAAGGCCCTTATCTTTGGGGCCCAAAGTTGGTACCGAATGGATTACCTATACCTGACCTAAAGCCCATGCCTGAACACTTCCCTCAGGTCTCATAACCACTTGGCAAATTGGAATAGTACAAAGGTACTTCAAGGACCCACTTTCAGGCCAGGTCCAGCCTGAAACACAGTGAACAAAAGGTTTTCCCACATGAAGGAAGAAGAAATGAAAATGGATGTCCAATCATTTGCAGTAGCAGAAGAAGGCAAAAGGTCCCTATTTTTTTTTTAATTTTATTTATTTGACACAGAGAGAGAGAGAGCACAGAGTGAGAGTGTGAGAGAGAAGCAGAGTCCCCACTGAGCAGAGAGCCTGACGTGGGGCTCCATCCCAGGACCCCCAGATCATGACCTGAGCCGAAGGCAGACGCCCAACCGTCTGGGCCACCCAGGCATCCCAAAAAGTCCCTATTTTTGGCAAAATATCTTGACTGGTTCCGATAGCTAATCTGGATCATTTTTATGGAAGAGTATTATCTGGAAAACAATGAAAATAGGATTTTAACATTAGTAAGAGCCCAAGGACGAGACTTTCATTTAAATCAGGACTCATGGAGAACCCTGATGGTACAGATGAAATGTTTTTACTGGGAAAGCAGACCTAAAACCAGGCCAAGAGGACCTGTTGGGCCAGGGCCTTTTTGAAGAAAGGGAGAAGAGGTCACTGACTTAGGAGGAGCCGGGGCGAAGGCCCTTTGATGACTCTTGTTCCAAGCGCTGCCCAACGAATAGCGCATGCCTCCCAGCCTCCTCCGCAAGGGCAGAGCGGGAAACCCGGTGGGTTGCGCGGCGCTCGAGTTAGTCGAGCTGGCATCAACCTCCCTCCGCCTCGTCTGCGGCCCCCGGGGGCAGCAACGACGCGCCATTCCCGTCGCAGGCACAGAACACACAAAGGAAACCCCCACCCGTCCTCAGACGTGGGGACACTCTGCGGAGGAGGCTGGCGTGGACCCCGAGTCTGAGCACCTCCCTCGCCCGCGGGGAACAATAGCCGCCGCCTGCCCCGGGCGGCCCGGCGGTCGCGCGGCACAAAGGCCGTCTCGGGGCCGCGCCAGCATGTGACGCGCGCGCGCTCGGCGCTCGCCCGGCCTGCCGCAGGGCGCAGTCAGCACCGAGCCGGAGCCGCCGGGCCGCGGCCAGGCTGCCGGAATCCACCTGGCACACTTTCGGAAAGACAAACGGTGAGTTAATCACCCAACAGGCTGGCGGCCGCGTCCCCTCTCGCCAGCGAGGAGGCCTGGGGAGGGGGCTGGGTGAAGGATTTCTCTGTGTGTGTCGAGGGTTGGGCGGGGGGTGGGGGGCGGCGGGAGAGGTTAGTCCTATTAAGAATTCATCAATCACCCGGTGTGCACTTATCGCTCGACAGCGGTTCCTCCTACTTCAGAGCAAGTCCCGGCCAGCTGGGAGCCGACCAGAAACCGCAAGCGGAGGAGACGCAGGCACGCGGGGTGAGCGCTCACGGAGGGTGCGACGCCGCCCACGCCCTGCGGCGCGAGGCCGGTCACCCCCCGCGCTCCGGGTCCCTACTGCCGCCTGCCGGCCCCGCCCTCGGACCACTGGCGGCTCACCGCCCTCCCAAGAGGCGGGCCCCAGCGTCCGTCCCCGACGCACGGTGGCTCAGTATCCCCAGCCCCCCACACCCGCCGCTTCCTCCCTCCCCCGTCACACCCTCAGCGCTACTCTACGCCACAACTCCATCTCTCGCAAGACAGAACAAGAAAAATCCCAATGGGTCTGAAGGTTTTTGCAGACACACAAAAAAAGGCTCCCAAGGGACTAGGATTCAGGGAAGGGGCGGAGCTAGTTTCGTTATTTACCTGCAGGAGTAATTTGTGTGGGAGGAAGCAGGATAACACCCCTGTTGAACTTGCAACTAAACTTGAATGCCATATAAAAAGAACAATAAAACTACACTTAAGATACCAACCACAATGATATGCCTTTCCTCTCTTGTCTGGTGTGAAGGAAGGACTGGAATATTTTTACATCAGCTCTTTTGGGGTCATTTTAGAAATACCATAAAGGGATAGACTAAGAGATAGACTGAAAACGGCGCGCAGGGCGGGGGGGGGGGGTCATTAGCATTAGAGCTGTTTAGCGCGGGAGGGCTTGGGTAAGTGGGTGGTGAAGCATTCTTATACCCCTTCTTGAGTGGTATTTGTAGTTCTCTTTGTAAATTCTAAGAAAGTTCCAGGCTACCCCCTCTTTTATTCTTTTTCTGAGTGACATCAGCTGAGAAGTTTCTGGAGTTAGTTAAGTGTTGCCTCAGCCTATAGGAAAGAGCCTCTGGAAGACAGAAAATCCCAACTCCCCCCTCCCCTCTTCTCTTTCAGCCTCCTCTTGGGTGGAAATGAACTTGCTTTGGAGAGATGTTCTACTATCATTTTGCTTTAGGTAGATACAAGCTGAAGCATTAAGCCTTGCACAGTGTTCTGAACTCATTAAGCAATTAAAATACTGGTCCTGTTGTCCTTGGCTCAGAGTGTGTCCTTCTCTCCTTGCCTTTCAGCAATACCTACTGAACAGCTCCTGTGGGCACTGTGCTGGGCTCTGAGATAAAAAAATGAGTCACTAATAGTGTGCACCTTTTCATCTACCGGGGGAGAAAAAGAATCTTAAAACAGTGTGACAGATACTATAACACAGGTGTGACCAAAATGTTCCTGGATTTAATAAAGAAAAGGAGCCTCTAACATTACTGTAGTGTCAAAAAAAAGTCTTCTCAGGGGAGGTGAATTTGGGTTCCTGAAGTATGAGTTTTTTAGGAAGGAAGAAGAGACATACCAGGCAGAGTGAGCAGCACATGCAAAGCAAGAAGGGAAGAAAGAGCAAGGTCTGGGCCTGGAACAAGAAGAATCCTTTGGAATAGAACATCTGGCTGGAAAGAGAGGTTGTATGGGGTTCATGGAAAGGAGTCTGGACCTGATCTGTAGGCAGTGGGAAGCCACTGAAAGTTTTAAAATGGGATGTGAGGTTATGTATTGGAAACTTCCTCTTTGGGATACTGTGTCTGACTGGAGAAAGCAGAGATAGGAGGCAAGAAGGAAAAAAAAAGGAGGCTGCTGCAATAATCCAGCATAGAGAGGAACTAAGATAATGACGATGAAGAGGAAAGACATTTAGGAGGACAAATTCACAGGACTTGGTGATAACTGGATGAGTGAAAGAGCAGTTACAGATATTAATCCCTAGGTTTCTATTTAGAGGGCCTGAGTAGGTACTCAGGTCATTCACCAAAATGAATACAGGAGGGGGAAGAGAATACTTTGCAAGGGAAACTAAAGAATTCAGTTTTAGGTCTACATTGTGTTTTTTGTTTTGCTAACTGATACACTGTATGACCCTAAACAATTCACTTAATCTTGCTGGCTTTCAGTTTCATCACCAATGTAACAATCAATAGGTATCTATCTCAGAAGTTTACCGTGTGTGTGTGTGTGTGTGTGTGTGTGTGTGTGTGTGCGCGCGCGCGTGCGCGCGCGCATGTGCACATGCCCACATTAGGAATTACCTTCACCAAGTCCAAGTGAGTGTCCTATGCAAAGCTAAAACCTAGGGAAAACATCCTCTAACCCACACCATGCTAATCAAAACTTAGATCCTGGGTGGCCATTGAGAAATAAGTCTCAGGAAAATTAAAAACAACACCCTCCTGCTTCCCAGATATTGAATCCAACCAATGCTTTGGACTAGGTCAGATCATATTGCTAATTAGAGCTCCTCTGCTTCCGGAGGGTACTCTCCAGGGACACATGCAGAAATGTGGTCCTGGTATCAGACCACTAAAGAGGAGGCCTCTTAGCAGATGTCGGAAAGCTTTTTTATATCATGTGTCTTTCAGGGAATGCTTGAAGCCACCCACTCTCTTTGAACCTCCTTAGGCTTCCTTGTGACACAGTACAGTATGGGAAAGAGTGTTGGAACATCTGACCTTGGCCATTTACACTGGGTGTAATGCAACAAGTAGTTTATCTTTTCTGTGTCAGTATTACCATTTATAAAATAGAATTATGAAAGGATCAAACAAGATAAGGAAGAATGGCATTTCTGGAGATGCTCTAAGGGTAAGCAAGAGGTATTATTTTTTACTTATTGGATTGGCAAAAATAAAAAAATTTACTATCCCACTGAGGTGGCAAGAGCATAGGGTAACAGGAATTTTCTTATGTTGCTAGTAGAAGGGTAAATTGATTCACTTCTAAAGAGAGCAGTTTGGCATTTTGTATCAAAATGGCCAGTGCACATACTTTTGACTAAGTAATTCCATGTCTGGGAATTTTTCTAATAGGTCAAAAACTTGAACATGTGTTTGTAATAGCAAAAGACTGAAAATAAGCAGGAGCCTTTCTATCCCCATTGATAGGGGATTAGTTAAAATTGTGGTAGGTATGTACAGTAGAACAGCATGAAATTGTAAAAGTAAACCAGGAAGTTCTGTATGCATTTATATGAAATGATCTTCGAGATACAATAGGGGAGGGTGCCTGGGTGGCTCAGTCGGTTAAGCATCTGTCTTCAGCTCAGGTCATGATCCCCAGGGTCCTGGGATCAAGTCCCACATAGGGCCCCTTGCTCAGCGGGGAGCCTGCTTCTCCCTCTGCCTGCCACTCTCCCCTGCTTGTGCTAGCTCTCTCTCTCTGACAAATAAATAAATAAAATCTTAAAAAAAAAAAGATACAATGGGGGAAAAGCATGGGGCCAAATGAGCCTGTCTAATATGCTATCATCTATGCAAAAAAAATGTGGGGGAATTTATAGATAGATGGAGATGTATAAAGTATCTCTGGAAAGGCAAAAGAAACTAATAACTTATGTGAAGGGGATCTAGGTGGCTGAGGACAGGGGTGGGAGAAAGATTTTCACTGCATACCATTGTGTACCCTTTGAATCTTGAACCACATAAACCTGACCTGGGTGCACCTGTGTGTGTTCACACATGTCCTAAATTTGTACTATCCAGTTACATTAATCTAAGGTTATTTCTTGTTTTGATCCCCCAGGGATCAAGCTCAGCAGGAGATGAGGGGATCCTTTACCCTTGCTTGGTGGAAGGGGTGAGAACCCAGATCCTCTCTGCCTTCTCCTGCAGGAGTAGCTCAAGGTGTGGCCTCAGAATCCTGGAGCACAAGTTTAGCAAACAAATTGCAAAGGGGGCGGGGCAGCAAGCCTCCCAGTCAGCCACACCGGCTGTAGGGTCTCCCAGAAACAAGGGTGTCTCCTTGAACACTGCTCTGTTGCTCAGCACTGAGGCTGCCACAGTGTGGAGGAGGGGCTGCTTTACTCTTCCCCTTTTGTAAACTGTGGACAGGCAGCAGACTGTGGACGGTCAGAAGACCCAAGTTAGTTCCCTCATTTTTTGCAGGACGGTTTTGTGTTTTAACCTTTGAATAAGGTGACTTCCTTTCTGAAATGAGGGGTTCAAGGTCACTTGTCTCTAAGGAGCCTTCTTGCATTGACATTTTATGATATGAAAGGTCCATTTTTAGCCAAAGGAAGAGTTAGTTACAGCTTAGGCCAACAGACATTTCATCCCCTCTGGATCCCAGGAGCTCAAATGCTCATTCCAGACAATTTGGGAGAGGTGGAAGGAAAGAAGAGTTGGCTCCTCCCTCTTGAGACTCCCCCATTCTTACTCCTTTCTTCTTTCCATTACCTCAAAACCACTCTAAAGTTTCTCTGAGGAGACTGGGAGAGAAAAAACCCTTTCACTTCCTACCTTGCTAGCATCCGCAAAGCCAAGTTAGGAAAGTGGCAAGGAGCAGAAGCCAGGTCTCTGCAAAGCACTATTTTGTCAGCAAAACTTGGGAAACTCCTACTTAAGGATATTTAGGAAACTTCACCCCAACTAGACTCAGGTTTGGCTTTAACATTCTCTGCCCCTACCACCCAACAGGCTTCTGAACATTGTTCAGGTTTACTCATGTTCTAGTTAGCAATGAGTTCTCATGGTGCTGGTCAAGGGCCCCTCCTACAGAATCACCCCTCTCTCCCTACATTGCCCACCCCAAACCAGCTCCTGAAACAGAAATTCTCAAAGTATGGTTCCAAAGAACCTTGCTTTAGAATCACCCAAGAGGTTTATTAAGACTCCTACCGGAGTCAGATATATTGGATTAAAATCTCTTGGGTGGGCTCAGGAACCTGCACTTTTAAAGAAGCTTCTGTGATGATTCCTACCCACATGAAGTGGTTTTGGGAGCCAATAATCTAGGGATATCCTTTAGCCAATATTAGTCATGGTAAAAACACACCATTCTTAGGGTGCCTGGGTGGCTCAGTTGTTAAGCGTCTGCCTTCAGCTCAGGTCATGATCCCAGGGTCCTGGGATCGAGCCCTGCATCGGGCTCCCTGCTCTGCAGAAAGCCTGCTTCTCCCTCTCCCACTCCCCTGCTTGTGTTCCCTCTCTGGCTGTGTCTCTCTGTCAAATAAATAAATAAAATCTTAAAAAAAGAACAACCATCCACCATTCTGTCCCATTTTTACTTCTGTCCAACAAACATTTCTTGGATGTTTACTGTGTGCCAGGCAAGGGCTTGACCCATGAGGTTTTCATTCACAAAGCTCTCAAGGAAAGGCACAGCACTCTAAACTTTTTCCTCAGGGAGGGTCATGTTAACAAGCTTCTGACAGGTTTAAAATTCTTGTCCTTAGGATCCCTTTCACCCCCACTTCCCATGGAAGACTGAGGGCTGCTGCAGAGAACTACAAATCTTGCTTAAGAGAAAACCCCACCTCCCCCTCTGCTTTTCACCCCAACAAGCAAGAGCCTTTCTATACTTTGGGGCTGTGGAGCCAAGAGTTTGCATGTCTCAAAGCATCTCCAAGGGGTAACATGATGAGGCTTGTGGAGAGGGGTTGCAAGAGACTTCTTAGGAACAACTGTAAACACACAGAAGTCCAGAGTGCCACCCTCCATCACTTCTGTCTTCTGTCTGCAGGAAAAAAGGCTTGTAGCTCGAATGGGAGACAAAGGTTGTCATGGGGGTGGGGGTGGGGGGTGGCTGCCTTGGTTAGCAGTATGGGAGAGATTTCAAAGCATTCCTACATCAAACACAACCTGGCAATCAGGCCCCTCTGCTGTCACCTCCTGCTGAGAACTCACAGCACCAGGACCTAGCAGGGCAAGTGACCCTTGGGAATTCATGACTTGAACAAGCAATAAAATTAGTAAGACATTTCTCTCATACCCTGTGAACATCTAGGAGACAAACTTTAAAGGTACTCAAAGTATCCTATGTTCACACTTTCTACATACATTTCCTCCAATAATATCTTCCAATCTCTCCTTAGAAAATTATAGATTCCGATTCTTCTGGAGTAGATTTATAGTATAGCTGAGACTTGTGCCAGTAATGAATCTCTTTCTTGTTCCTTTGGCTTGAGAATATCTTTTTTTTGCAGCCTAGACCTCCCCTAACAAAATATTCGTACACAGTAGGTCCCTGGCAAATGTTGAATCTGAGTCTGA